AGATAGACAAAACAGTAACCACGCACTGTATTGTCTTTCCAAACAGCATTGTGAAGACCTCAGAGACAGCGGCCTCACATGGCTCCCTTGGCATTCTGAATCCTCAATTTTTTGGGCATCCTGAATCCCTGGATTTCTCTGCTAACCAGGTTAGCAGGAGTGGGTGGGAGCAGTAGCATCCTATCATGAATCACAGCCAGTCCATCTGGAGGCTTTTTTTTAGCTTGTCAACAGTGCTCAACTCCCAGAGGGCTGGACCCTTCTTGATTCTATCTTGCTGGTAATCAGAGAATTTCTGGGACAATGTTGGCCAATATTCTAGATTCCCATCTTCTTTACTATGTAGCTCCTAAGTTATGTCCCCACTCTGTACTCCCTTGATTCCATGTTATTTGTCTTAGAAACTCAGACCCCCCAACTGAACTGTGCCGTGCTCCTCTTTGGAGTGGATCTTGGCTTACCAAATCATCAAATAATGATAACAGGGAGGGACTGAAGATTAGCCCTTGTTTCCCCCCTCCCTGCCCACTGCCAGCTCTGTCTTAATCTCCCCTCTCAGCTTGGTTCCCCTTCTGCTGAGACCCAACCTGCACTGTTGCCCACAAAAGAACGTAAGACACTTGTGAAGACTGTGTGACACGCCCTTCAAAGCTTCAGGGAGATAAATTTAGACATAAAACAGGAAGTAAATCTCTATGTGGCTGAGAGTGATCTAAGGGAAATTATTGCCTCAAGATATTTTAAAGCCAAGGCATGGGGGAGTAGTTCTTAAACGTTCAGGTGGATCAGAATCATCTGGAAGGCTGGTAAGCTACATATTGTTGGTCCCATCCCAGAGTTTCTATTTAGTAGGTTTGGGGTGGGGCCTGAGAATTTGCATTTCTAAAAAGCTGATGCTGTTGGTCCAAGGACCACATTTTGAGAACTACTATGTAGAGGTTCAAGAAGGGGCAAAAAAGCTCTCTGGGCCACAGGGCTCTCATCTGAAAGTGAAGGTGCTGGGCTAGGTCAGCCAAAATGCTCTTTAGGACTGACACCCATGCTTACAGTGTTAAACAGGTGACTACATGTGTATTTGTGCCAAGCTTTTCTCATTACTTATATTACTGAAAATAACTATTGACTACCTATATTAAGATACCATAGGGACGCCTGGGTTAAGTGTCTGCCTTCGGCTCAGGTCATGATCCCAGGGCCCTGGGATCGAGTCCCACATCAGGCTCCTTGCTCAGCGGGAAGCCTGCTTCTCCCTCCGCCTGCCGCTCCCCCTGCTTGTGCTCTTTCTCTCTTTGACAAATAAATAAATAAAATCTTAAAAAAAAAAAAGGTACCATAAAAATTTCCAGGAATTTAGAAGCTCTGATCTATATACAACAAAACCCCATTAAATAAAATTCATTACTGTCACTTACGAAAAACTTATAGAATATTTTATTTATTTATTTTTTTAAAGATTTTATTTATTTATTTGAGAGAGAGAGTCAGAGAGAGAGAGCACAAGAGGGAGGAGCGAGAGAGGGAGAAGCAGACTCCCTGCTGAGCAGGGAGCCCGATGCGGGACTCCATCCAGGGACTCGATCCAGGGACTCCAGGATCATGACCTGAGCCGAAGGCAGTCACTTAACCAACTGAGCCACCCAGGCGCCCTAGAATATTTTAAGTAAATGACCTTTTACTCATAATGTCAACTAGCCTCCCACAAAAACGTTTCAAAGAAAAGTTTTCACTGAGATGGCTTTACAGAACAAATTAGTAATTAGCATATAAGGCTTAGCATATAACTAATGTTTAAAGGCCTTAAATATGATCTAAGCTGTTGGTCAACTAAACATGTACTTCTCCTCCCCTTTCCTCTAACAAATAAATATTACTTGCATTTTAATTTAATACTGTGTATGTCCATCCTCCTGAAATAGCCATGCTGTTCACAGCATCTAATTTTAGCAAATAACTAATATGGTACAACTTCAACTGTCAGTCATTTAAATATTGTCCCTCTGCCCCACACAAATAAATTGTATTTACATGTTAATTTGCTTAACTCAATCCTGGAGCAGCTGCAATTACCCTCCTTGGCTGGTCTTTGATCTCATGCTTTCCTCCCTCTGGGACCTAATGCCTTTCTACTCAGAACCTTAGGATTGAAGGAGACTTAGTGTCTAGTCCACTCCCCTAATCTGACCCACCAAATGTGTCTTCAAGGTACCATGCCAAGGAATTCCCAGACTCAGAAGAGACAGCCCACGCAATCAGGAGTTTTGAATCATCACTAACATCTTGTGAAAGTCTGCTGAGGTCCTCCATCAGTCACCCCAGAAAACAGAACAGGTCACCTTTGCAGGCATGGAGTAGAGAGCCAGCACCTTTCTCCCTGAGTGTGTTCACATGCAAAGGTTAATGTCATTAACTGAGAATGATCACAGTTGCCACATTTTTAAAAACATATAAGTTATACCATTATTATCCAGGAAATAATCATACCTTCATTGCTCAGATTCCTTTAACTCTCTGGGTCCACCATTCCTAATCCTAGAAGTTTATTTCTCTCTGTTCGTGGCCCATCTCTGGAAAACTAATGAGCTTGACTACATTAACAGTACAGAAATCCTAAGGTTCAACATGTTGTTCTGCCACTTTTTCATGTTTATGTAATTCATCTCTTCAACAAGATCATAGGTTCCTAGAAAACACAGGTTCTGTTTTATTATTTGTGTCCCTTGTCTGCTGTGCCTGGAGGGATAGCCAGGATCTGGAACCCCGAGTCCCCTCTCCAGTGTTGGGTTGGTTCCCAAGGGCCATATATATGGAAGAGAGGAATGTGATACAGGGGACATTAAAGGCACTTACCACCACTGGGCAAGTGACCAGCCAAAATCCTGATGGTGGAATTCTGCCATGATGAAATGATACAGATTAATGGGGAACCACTACTTTACCTCAAGGCCTAGAGCAGGACTAGCTTCATCTGCTCTCTCCATACTTCCTATCTTTAGGGGCCACCCTGATCCCACATTGCCTTTCAGCTGCATGACTAAATCCCCACGCCTGGTCTAGTTGGCCTTGGTCCCAAGGACCTAGGGCTGGAGTAAGGCATTCCCAAACAAGATAGCAGCATACAACAGGACCTAATAAACAGAATGAGCCAACATGTATGTAGAAGAACAGAAATACAAATACCACAGAAGATACAAGTGACAAAAGACTGGCTGAAGGTAAGTCAGGATCACCCAGAGGATGGTGTATGTCTACCATCTCGATGCTCTTTTTAGATAAGCCAGCCAGTTTTTCATGCACCAACAATATAGCCCCTTGACTGGGATACTCCTATCAGCCCTGGCTCTTTGGGTCCCTGGTTGAGCAGGTCAGCTCTGAGCCCCTCCTAAGGAGGGAGGGGAACTCAAAGGGGGTTGAGGGGTAGGACGGGGAACACTGCCCATGTTAGAAGCTGTTAGGAGCTAGATGCCTACAAGAAGAATAAAGAGCCTTTCTCTCTCATAAGAGTGAGCATAATAGATTTTTTTCACCCTTTTCTCCTGGGCCCTCAACTGGGCTTTGCTTCTCCCATTTTTAACATTCTGACTCTGTGGAGGGAAAGAGAAGGAATCAAGTGGCCTTTGGCCCTTCGACTCTCATCAGAAGTCCTTCCTGCACTCTGCCCCTGATTTCATCACTGACAGAAATACTGGTTCTCCCAAGGTGGAATGAAAGGCAGAGATCCTGGGGTGTCCCTAGAGCAAAGGTTCTCACCTTAGCTTGCATATTAGAATCAGATGGGGAATGCAGGAAAAAAACTCAGTGACCAGGCAGGATCCCCAAGCCAGTGAAATAAGAATCCTGGACGTAAGATCAGATATCAGTGTATTTTAAAACTCCCCAAATGGGGGCGCCTGGGTGGCTCAGTCGTTAAGCCTCTGCCTTCGGCTCAGGTCATGATCCCAGGGTCCTGGGTTCGAGCCCCGCATCGGGCTCCCTGCTCGGCCAGGAGCCTGCTTCTCCCTCTCCCACTCCCCCTGCTTGTGTTCCCTCTCTAGCTGTCTCTCTCTCTCTCTCTGTCAAATAAATAAAATAATATCTTTAAAAAAAAAAAAAAACTCCCCAAATGGTTCTAATGTGTAGTCAAGGCTGAGCCTCACTGCCCTGGAGATTAAGCATCCCTTCTTAAGCCTGACTGTACATTAGAATACCCTGAGGGATACATTAAAAGCTACTATTGCCCCATCTGAGACCAATTAAAATTAGAGTCTCTCAGGACTATAGCCCAGGTATCAGTGTGTTTTTCAGGTTCCTTGGGTGATTCTTTTTGTGTGTGTATGTGGTAAACTATATATAATATAAATTTACCATTTTTGCCATTTTCAAGCATACAACTTAGTAGCGTGAAGTACATTCACAATGCAATGTTGTGCACTATCAATTTCCAGAACTTTTTCATTATTCCAAACAAAAAGTGTATCCATTAAACGATAATTCCCCATTCTCTTCTCCCCTGCAAGCCCTGGTAACCTCTATTCTACTTACTGTCTCTATGAATTTGTCCCTTTTAGGTACCTCAAATAATTGGAATCATACAGTATTTATCCTTTTGTGACTGGTTTATTTCACTTAGTGTAATGCTTTCTAAGTTCATGCAGGTTGTAAACGTGTGTCAGCATTTCCTTCCTTTTTAAGGCTGGATAATATTGCATTGCACGTACATACCACATTTTGTTTATCCATTCATTTGTTAATGGACATTTGGGCTGTCAACCTTTTGGCTACTGTGAATAATGAGGCTATGAATATTGGTGTACAAGGATCTGCTTGAGTGCCTGCTTTCAATTCTTTTGGCTATATACCCAGAAGTGGGATTGCTGGATCATACGGTAATTCTATGTCTAATTTTTTTCCTGTTTCATTGAGATGTAAGTGATGCATAGCATAATGATTTGACTTACATATATCATGAAGTGATTGTCACAACAGTTTAGTTAACATCCATCATCTCATACAGATACAAAAAGATATATGTGGAATGCTTCACAAATTTGCTGTCATCCTCGCTCAGGGGGCATATTAATCTTCTTTGTATCATCCCAATTTTGGTATATGTGCTGCCAAAGTGCACATTTAACTTTTTGATGAACTGCCATGCCCTCATGTGATTCTTTTTTTTTTTTTAAGATTTATTTATTTTAGGAGCGCCTGGGTGGCTCAGTTGGTTAAGCGACTGCCCTCGGCTCAGGTCATGATCCTGGAGTCCCGCGATCGAGTTCTGCATCGGGCTCCCTGCTCAGGGGGAGTCTGCTTCTCCCTCTGACCCTCCCCACCTCATGCTCTCTCTCTCTCTCTCTCTCTCTCAAATAAATAAATAAATAAATCTTTAGAAAAAATATTTATTTTAGAGAGAGAAAGAGAGCACAAGAGTGGGGGGGGAAGGGCAGAGGGAAAAGGAGAGAATCTCAAGCAGACTCCCTGCTGAGCGTGGAGCTTGAAGCAGGGCTTGATCCCATGACCCTGGGTTCATGACTTGAGCCGAAATCAAGAGTAGGATGCCTGGGACCCTGGTTGAGCAGGTTGAGCCACCCAGACGCCTCACCCTCATGTGATTCTTAAGTAAAGCCAAAGATGAGGAACACTGGTGTTTTTCCTACATCCTAAGAGAGTACTAATTGGTAGTTGGTCAACATTATTGAGTGACTTCCTTCATTAATTGTATTGCAGTCCAATGCAGTTGTTTTTGTCACAAATCTGAACACTACTGGGTGGATGAACAGTACTCTTTTGAAAACCCCAACAAAGTGTCTCATGGCCATGAGAAATAGTACCTCAATTGCAGTTCCCACCTTCAGCTGAAATGTGTGCCCAGTGATTTGTTAGTAATGATCATTTAAGTATCAGAGTTTCTGAGTGATCTGCTTTGTAGATAATAAATTAGACCTGATTCAAGACTTTTCCTATCACAATGCCGTATCTATCATGATACATAAAATTATTTCTATCATCATACCAGTGCTCAGATATTTTTCTTTTTTTTTTTTTAAGATTTTATTTACTTGACAGAGAGAGACAGCGAGAGCAGGAACACAAGCAGGGGGGCTGGGAGAGGGAGAAGCGGGCTTCCCGCTGAGCAGGGATCAGGACCTTGGGATCACAACCTGAGCCAAAGGCAGACACTTAACGACTGAGCCACTCAGGCGCCCCTCAGCTATATTTTCTTGAATCAGAAGGAAAGGGGATGAAAGCGATGTGACTGCGTTGCTCATGAATGTCTTCCATCTCAAAAAGCACTGCTAAACTACCCATTGATAGTCTCATGGGAGTTCAAGGGCAAAGGGATGAATAGGTGGTGCACAGAGGATTTTTAGGGCAGTGAAGATACCATCCATATAATACAATAATGGTGGATACATGTTAGTATACATTTGTCTGAACCCACAGAATGTACCACACCAAAAGTGAACCCTAATGTAAACTATGGACTTGGGGTGGATATGTGTCAGTGGAGGTTCATCAGCTGTAACAAGTGTACCACTCTGCTGCAGGATGTTGATAATGGGGGAGGTTGCATGTGTGGGAGCAGAGGGTATATGAGAAATCTCTGTATCTTCCCCTCAATTTTGCCGTGAGTCTAAAATTGTGCCCTCCCCCAAAAAAAGCCTTAATAAAAACTATCCTTTAACAGTATTTGGCACAGAATTTGGCACAAGGTAGGCATCAGTAAATATTTGTTAATGATCAAATGAATGAATGAATGAATGAATGAATTTAGACAAGTAAATGTAGTTTGCTATGGATGATTCATTATGATGGAAAAGTATGGAATACTATTACAACACTTAGTTACTATTCCAAAGGTGAAATCAAAGTGGGAAAGTGCCCCTAATCTTTTGGGAGATGGCAGCAAGAAGGGGCTGCAGTGGATGTGGAGAACCTTGAATCTGAGGGTGCACTGAGTGGCCTCAACACAGAGCTGAGTCAGAGAACGTGAAAGGTGCTGGTATGGAATAAGGATGAAAGACAAGGGGTACCACTTAAGTCACAAGACTCCTGCTTCCTTCCTCTCTATTGTATACCAATCCCAGGACCTGCAGGTTTTCTCCTGCACTGGGCCTTTGAAAACCTGTCCAGATATGAAACAACATGTTGTTCTGGCTTTTTTAGTTAAAGTACCATCTAGAGTCAAATTGTGTAAAGGAAGAGAAATCTATGAGTCAGTTTCCCGATTTGTATTTTGAAGATTACATCAATGGATTTCCATAAAAAGAAACCACAAGCTTCTTGCAGACTGTCTGGATTCACAAAGACCTATGCCTCTTTCAACTAATGAGGAAGAACTCCCAAGTACATCATCTAACGATATGCATGAAATTTTAAGGTGCATTTAAAAGCCAGATCTCCACTCTCAATTTTTCTCTTGTGTATAATTTAATGGTTGGTATAGGAAAGGAAAGCTGAATTCTTGTTTATTATTTTGTCCCCAAAATTAATGTGGCCATTTTGAGAGTACTAATATACCCTGCATCTACTTCTCCCAGACACTTTTTATATGTATACATTATTATCTCTCATTTAATTCTCATAATATCATTTGAAGCAGGTACTATTATCTTCTGCTTTTTACAGATGTAGAAGTTGAAGCTGAGAAGTTAAGTAACTTGCCTCAAGTCATGTCTCTAATAAGAGGCAGCATCAAAATTCAAATTCAGGGCTAATTCTAAAGGTCATAATTTTCCCTATTAAACCATTATGCCCCTTAAGAGAACCACAGGGGGTGAAATTACATAATAAAGATATTAATATTTGATTAGGAGGAAAAAAGACCAATCATAAAATGTAATGTCAGTCCATGGTAGAGGTTGGAGGGTGGTGGGTGGGGTGATTGAATAGGTTATAAAACTGCAAGGGTAGGAGGCACCTGGCTGTCTCAGTCGGTAGAGCATGAGACTCTTGATCTGAGGTCATGAGTTCAAGCCCCACGCTGGGGGTAGAGCCTACTTAAAAAAAATAAAATAAAATTGCAAGGTGGGAAATAGGGCCCAGACTAGAGTGAAGTGAGGGAGGCAGTCCTCCTGGCAGGAGAGGAGAAGCTGAAGAGGAGATGGGAGGAGATGGACACAGTTAGTATCTAGCTGAGCTGTATTGGACAAAGATCAAATTGGGAAGGATTCTTCCAGAGTAAATAAGATAGATGTGCATTTTAACCCCTAGGCACTTATGAGAAGCTGCATACGCAACACCTTGCACATAGCAGACTTAGAAAAAAGAAGTCTGTTGAATCTCAATTTTAAAAGACCAGTCAACTAATAAAGACTAGACCAATAAAAACTAGAAGACTTGATTCCCATAATTGGCACACGCAGCTAATAGACTCTCCTATATGTTCAATGACTACGAACAATTGGGAAAGGGTTACCAAGTCAAACAGTATGAAACAAGCTTTTGCATTTCTAAGGAGAAAAGCTAGCATTTGTTATCTACTATGTGACAAGCAGAGTTACATGCTTTATTTACATCAACTCCCTTAATTCTGGTAACAACTCTATACAGACTACTGTATTTTCAATCCCATTTTAACAGACGAGGCAGAGAATTAAGTAACTTATTCAAGGTCATAAAACTAGAGTCCAGCAGATCTTTCTGGATCTAAAGGTCGTGCACTTAGCCATTATAGTGCATTCTGAACTCTGCACTTACCCCGGATGAAAAAGTATAGTGATTGCTTGTGCTAGAATGTGATGGGAGAATGTACGGAGCAACTATCTCGCCAGAAGTTAGGGAAAATTTGAGTGCCCAAATTGCTACAGAAAATCCTGTTGTCCTGTGTGATGAAAAAGCTAATGGCACCGGAAAATGGGAAAGGAAGCCTTGTGTCTGAGAGTACCTGGCTGGTCACATTCCGTAAGTTGCTTGCTTTTGTCCCAAACTACTCACTAGTTTTCAATGGGTGGCACTCTGACTCGAAAGAAACCAGGCAATTCCTGCTAAAAACAATCATTTCCATGATCTGCCGCCCAGTTAAAAAAAAAAGTCTAGGCACAGATTTCGAGCAAATTTCCATTAGGTATCTGATGTCTAGGAACCACTTCCCTTAGCAATGCCATACACGTCAAACCCTAAAACGAGGAAGCCTCGGCTGAGGTTGCCCGACGCGGGAGCCGGCACACGCAAGTCACTGAGTCAGCTGAGCGCGGCGGGGGACCGGCGATGGAGAGCCGCGAGCTCCCGTCTCCGGCGTGAGGCAATCCTCCTCCCACGGTCTCGGGAAGCCCCGACGCCGCAGGCTTCCTAGCCGAAGTGGAGCCGCCCGGGTGTAGCTCCTGCACCGCTTCCTCCCCCAGCGGCAACCACCCGACCCTTCCTGCTCAGCCAGACTCCACCTCCCCAGCTCCGCAGCGCGCGCCTCCGCGACCGGGCGGCTGCGGCGGCGGCGGCGGGGGAAGG